CCTCCCCTCTCATCTCTCTCCTCTGACACTAAGTCAGCACACCTTTTTACAAACCACAGGCCCAGCCACGTCACCCCCTTCTTAAATCCCTCCTGTGGCTCCCCCAGCCCTCCTCAGTCCCTGAGCCTGGCTCCCAGGACTCTGCCCTGTTGCCTAGATCCCTCCCATGTGATCATCAGGAATTAATGACTCGAAATTCCTGGATGAGTTGCTCGTTCTCTTGCTCCCGTGACTGCACAGCCGATGTCCTCCCATCCGGAATCCCTTCCCAGAACTCTTGGGAAGCTCCTCCTAACCGGTCCAGACATGTGTGCTCCACCTCCTACAGGAAGCCTTCAATAGCCCTCCCAGAAGCTGAGGGGCTTCTTTTCTGAGCTCCAAGTCCAGACTCCCCTCTAGTCCAACACTTAACCTTCGTCGAGCTGACCCTTGCATCTGGCATTGGGCCTCTCTGGGGTCTAGTAGCGCACTTCGGGTGCTGCTGAATCAAACCCACGGTGAGTGGTGACCGGGCCAAGCTGATGATCCTGGCATTGTGGTGTCTCTGGAGAGGGCAGGGAATGGGGTCCAGGTGGGAGCAGGTTTCCGGAAGGCTCCAGAAGAGGAAGGGAATGGGGTGTTTACCCAATGTGTTTGAAGATCTTGAGGGGAGACTGACAGTTCCCCCAGAGGAGACAGATGAGTGAACTTAGCACGTGAAGCGAACACATTTAGAAAATGTGACATCCATTTCAGCACAAAGAATAGATCATACAAAAGCAAAACTTCATCGTGGTACAACATGGCTCCACTGTGATGTATGTGGTCGCCATCCCATAAACACTCATCCAACCCAAAATTACACTGTAACTTGGTGGTAAAGTAGCAGGAAGGTGCCGGGGCTGGGAGAAAGAACAGAGGAAGTTTCTGTTTCATAGCAGAAAAGTAAAAAAATGCCAGCCCCCATCAGTCTGTCCTTGCCTTTTGTGCCTTACAGAGGGGACACCCGGCAAGAGAACAGCCGACGGCCAGGATGAGGATAGGCTGATGGGGGCTGGCATTTTTTATCTCTAGTTTTCAAGGCTGATTATTTTCGAGCTAGGCCTTATTTTTGGGGAGAAGGGGTGCATTCATGTTGGTGAAGTACGGTCTGTGTTTGGAGTCCAATCAACCTGAGTCATGGCCCCACGGCACCAGCTGGGGCGGCGCATCCTGCTGCCCAGCCCCACCCATCCATGTGCCCCACAGCCAGGCTTCCCCTGATCCTCCCAGGACAAGGGGCCTCCACCCCTAGGCGCTGGTCCACACTGCGCCCTCTGCTCTGAGTAGCACCGTTCCTCCCGTAGTGCTGAGACCATGTGGGATGTGGCAGGCACTGCTTCTTCCCAGCACCACTTCTCAGACCCTGGAGACAGGACACCCTCCCACACACACACTGCCCTGGGCCTGGATGCCACTGTCCACCAGACTAGGGAGGAAGTCCAGGAGCTCTGTGCGGTCAGGGTGTTGGTGACAGCGGTGCTGTTGGTGAGGGAGCCCATATAGACCACCCTGTACCCATGGACCCTCCAGGGCTCCATGCCAGAGCAAGGCCTCAGGGGCTTGCAATCACAGTGCTCCCAGAGAGGAGCTCTGCCCTTAGTGCGAATCACCTCATTTAACTCCCAAGGTGGGAGGCCTCATCCTCCTTTCACACTTTGGGAATAAACTGCACCTGTCACCTACTCAGGCCGAGAGCAGTTGCATACACATGAACACTATGGCCTCCTGTGAGGAGCTGAAAGGTAGAGAGGTAACCCAGGCACCCTGCAGCAGAGGAATGGAGAAGCAAAAAAATGCAGGATAACCATGCAAGGAAGAGGAAGGGAATTCGGCCTTAAAGAGGAAGGGAATTCGGACACACTGCAACATGGAGTGATCTTGAGGACACTAAGCCAGTCACTAAAGGACAAAGACTGCACGGGTCCACTTGTCCCAGGCACTCAAAGCCGTCAGATTCATGGAGACAGACCAGAGAATAGTGGCTGTCAGAGCCTGGGCAGCAGTAAGGAGTAACTCATTGCTCTGAACAGTAGATGTAAACGTTGCTAAAATGATAAGTTGTTCGGTATATTTTGCTGCCATAAACTCTGTAAATGTAGTTAGAGACAGAAAGAAGAATAGAGGTCCCCAGGGTCTGAGGGAGGAGAGAAAGGCAAGTTCGTAAGGACTGGGTGCAGAGTTTCTGCTGGAAAGGTGAAGGGCTCTGGGTGTGGTTGGGGGGACGGCTCCCTAACACTGCGGCTGCTCTCCGTGCTGCTGCTGCTGCTGCTTCGGATGGTTGAAGTGACAAACAGGATGTGCTGAGCCCCTGGCCACAAGGAGATAGCGTGAGGGGCTCTGCTGCTTTCATTCTCTGGGCTCAGAGACTCCACAGATGCTCCAGAGAGGTTGCTGGGTGGCACCCAGCTTTTGGAAGGTGGCCCTCCCTCCTCTCTCAGGGCTCTGACTCAAGTCAGTTTGAGCCTCCCTGTGGTCCGAAATACCAAAAGGAGGCAAAGGTTCCCCTGCAGACAGGGACTCGGGGGCCGCATTAGGCCAGAGAGCAGCTGTTCATCGCTAGGCTTTCCCAGGCACCTACCCGCTCAAAGCTCACAAGTATCGAGCTCTTATTCTTCACTAGATCCTTACAGTACACCTCTGAGGCTGTCAGTTTTCTCACCCCCGTTTTGTGGCTGAGACATCAGAGGGCTTGACTGCCTCGCCAAGGTCACAGCTGAGCTGTAGGGAAAGCCTGCAAGTGCCCAGGTAGCCTGGTTGGCCTATGGTGATGACACTGCTTCTCCCCCAGCCACCTACTCTGACCGCCCTGTCTGCTCTGCATGTCCCCAGCCCACCCAGGAGGGGAGGAGAGGAACTTGCTAGGGAGCAAGGCAACCAGTGGGATTCGGAGGCCGTGGTTGATCACCACAGAGGCTCGCTTGTTGCTCACACTGACTTGGTCAGGGGGAACGGTTGGGCGTGTGTTGGTCATGTGGCCCTACGTGGGTGACTTTTCCTGCCTGAGTTCACCTGTAAACGCGGCAGAGACAACCGTATCCGGCTTTCAGAGCTTTCTGGGGATTAAACCAATGAGTAAGTGCAAACCCGTTAGAGCGTGTGGCACTGGGGCACCACGAGAGCCTGCTGGGTGGGAGCAATGATCGTCCTCGCCCATTTCCCGGAATGCTCTTGGGCAACCTCTCCTCTCAGCTCAGTTATGAAACAGAATTACTGAAACCAGCCTCACGGGTTTGTTGAGAGGATTAGACAAATACTGCATTTTCACTGGCATCTCTTTGTAACTAGCTTGTTTCCCTGAAGAACTTTAGGTACCTAACAGAGCTATGAGATTATTTTTAATTTGGGAAGAAAGAATTTGTGGCTCAAAGAAGGAGGTGGCAAGGAGTAGAAGAACAGATGAGACCATGCTGCTGAGAGGACCTGTGGTCTTGGCACAAGTTGAGACTCTGTGGACATCTACAGTGGCTGTTGTGGTTGGTTGCAGTGCCTGATCCTGGTGACCTTGGGTGTCCAAGATGTGGTAACTGCAGGCCAACTCAGTGCAAGCAGAGAGGA